CATGGTGTGAGTTGTCAGGATTATAGTATCCTCCTCGATACATCATTTCAGTCGAATCTTTTTCTCTTTGATTCGTCATATATATTTCTTTCTCATTTGATCTCACCCGTTTTGGATTAATTGGACGCTCTTCATCGTCTTCATCGTCTGATAAATCAGGCATTCTTCCTTTTCGTTTGTAATCAACGTTCTTGGCAAATCTTTGGACTTGAGGATGTCCAATGAGTCGCAACAAGGCAGAGAGTAAACCGAGACATTCATCAGTATTATGGCCTGCCGACTTATGATATGAACAATATCTCGTTTTATCAAGTTTTTCTTCGGGTGTTCTGACAGGTCGAGGGTCGGGAAGAATTCCTTTCCCTTTTAATTCTTCAAATATTGTTGCTGCTCCTGCCGAAAATACCGTCTGGTAGCTGGATTTAACTTCATTAAGATATTTAGTTCTGGCTTCTTGTACTTCGGGGATTTTTGGATTCCCAAATCGAGACTTATTTGGCTTGAAAAATTTATTTTTCTTCTTTTTTGATTCTTGCCCGACTTCCGACTTCAACGAGGAAAAGTCGATATTAGGAACCGACATTGATTCTTCGGCTAAAATATGCTGTTGAGCCCGAGCTAGAAAGTCTTGAAACGAAGTCGGTTTATTTTGACATATACTCCATCGGAACAACGAGTTTGGCTTCAATCCGGCTATGGCTGTGACCAATAGCGTTTCGGGATGGCATTGCTCCATATTTTGTATGCGTTCGTTGAACCGAGTAATGTAGTCTTTCACGCTTTCATCATCTTTTTGTACAATATTTGCGATTGACTCTTTGGGAATTAAAGATACTCGGGCCCCGATAAAATGAGAGCGGAAAGCCGTTCTCAACTGCTGCCATGTGGAGATTGAATACCGAGATAGAGAATGATACCATTTTTGAGCTCGTGGTCCCAGAGTTAAGGAAAACATCCGACATCTGAGTGCTTCATTCGCTCCATGAAGATCCATCCAAGATGTGTACTGACCAAGATGAGCATCAGGATCGGAAGTTCCATCATATAAGCCGATTTGCGGAACTTTCACTTTAGTCGGAATAGGCTCTCTCGTTAAATGAGGGGCTAAAGGAGTTCCAACCTCTTGATACGTCTCTTCTATCATTGGAGTTCGTCGTGGTGGTCCTCCATGTTCGTCTTGACAAGTCTCCAGCTCAGCAATTCTTTTTCTCAACATTTCTAACTCTTCTGATTCGCGTCTTTGGCGATTTCTTTCAATCAAACGACGTAATTCATTCTGCCCACGACGAGCATGGGTTTGTTCAAGAGTGTGTCGTAAATCAGAAGGCTGATCATGTCGTGATAGTTCTGGTAACGACGGAGTAGGCTGTCGTGGTCGATGTCCAGAATGGCTTTCTGCAGTTGCTTCTGATCGCGCTGGTTCTGGAACTCGAGTTTGTACTGGAACTACTCCACGAGTTTGAGTTGTTGCATCATGTTGTGATTCATGTGTACGTGGATGGGAAGTTGCATGTGATGTTGCAGGAATATTATTTCTTCGTGGAACTGGAGTTGAGCGAGTTTGAGGATTTGCCGCTGCGGTTGATTCTATTCTTGTTCGTGCCATAAAATCAGTCAAATTTTTCAAGAACTCTGGATCTTGAAATAGGGCTGAATAATCAATTGATGTAGATGGCACAGCAGAAGTTCCAGTTGTATGAATTGGGTGACGATTGATCCCAGGGTCGGGATTTCGTTCATTTCGTCCAGAATTCGACATCCTTTGCGTGTTGTTTACAAGACAAACAATTGAAAAGGGAAAGTGCGCAGCCGCCCTCCCTCTAGCGCCAAACTGTTGCTGTCTTGAATTAACAACTTCAAATTAAAAACAGTTGATGTCCAAAACCATGAAGATAAAAGTGTAATTGGATTTTTATTGATTATATTCACAAGAGTACAGAAGTCGGTTTTAAGCTGAAAACCGAGATTGTCTTAAGTTCGTGTACAATGTGATTGAAAAAAGATCAGATCCCCTCCTCGTACTATCATAAATTCTGCTATTTATAGTACGGTGGCTTTTGTCTTCTTCCTCGAAATGGATAGAGATGCATTTAATATTGAGCTGCTTTGTTTGAGGCGGCGGGAAACATCAATGATTGCCTTTTTGTTTTGTTGGTCCAATCAGATGCTTCTAATGATTATTTTTTGTTTGAAATGCTCGAACTTTACGGTAGTCGGTTGACTTGGGGTCGGTTCACTCATGTTGGTTTCGGATGTCGGTTTGGATCTTAAGAAGTCGGTAATTTGCTCCAATATACTCCGACTTTTAGGACTTTAATTCTGATTACTGGATTTGATATCAACACAACTGTGGTTGTGTAACTATCCTCCAGAGTTGTTTGCATATCAGTTAAGATAATCAATTATGCGATTTGCAAAAAACTATTCTAAAAAAATTGTACTAATGACAGTTTTTATTTAAATATTATTTAATAATTTTTTTTGTGTATCTAATTACTCAAATTGTGGATAACTAAGAAAATAATTAGAATTTATATTTCTAAGATACCCTAATTACACAGTCGAGTAAATTTGGTTGATTTATTCAATCATAATATTTTTAGAAAATTATTCTAAAATAGTTGTATTAATGGCAGCTTCTATTTAATTATTTTTTAATAATTATTTTTTGGGTCTTTTTTATTTTTGTCTATAAAAAATGTGGGTCTCGATTTTATTTTGTACGCTTGGCAATTAATTTTGTGGTAAAACTGAATATCATTTTTTTGTATTTTATCGGTAAGTATGAAATCGAATTATTTGGTATACTATATATCAATCCAATATACCCGTTTATGGTAAAAAATGGTATCTCAATATTTTTTCTTCGATATTGCTAAGCATTTTACTCGATATTAATGAGAGAGAAAACTGGAGAATACTATAGTTTATCGTGGAACATATCAAATCATTTTGTATATATATATGTGTGTGTGTGTGTATTTACTTGAATCACATTGTAGTCAAATCGAATTTCTGAATAAAAAATTAAAAATGATACCTATTTCAAAATGAATATAATGTAATTTATTACTAGTTACTTGCACCGTATGGGTCGTGTACCAATTTTAAATAGACATATTTAATGTAATTTTGCACAATTTATATTTCATATAACATTTTCAACAAATTAATAGGTAAGTTGTATTACATATTGATTCCATATATTTAATTTATAAATACTATTTGATGAGCATTTTTAATTTATAAATATTATAGAATACTTCTTACCCGTGCATCGCACGAGATTCGTACTAATAGAAAATAGACACAATCTAAAAAATATACTTTTCAATGCATGGACAAATAGATTGGTTTCCATTGATGTCACAACAAGAAAAAGAGATTCGATTAATTTTATTTTAGATAGAGATTTGTTTATGAAAATTTTTTATTTTGTTTGAAATTTTTGGTTTGGTTTGGTTAATTTTGAAAAAGGTGGTATGGTTAGTTGTTAATGGGTACATTAAAATAATATTTAAAATAAATAATTAAAATTGATTTGATGTAAAAATGGGAGAGAGATGAGTTAGTTAAAATAATGTGAGTGGATAAATAGTGAATTAAAGTTGATGTGCTGTGTATGAATGATTGATTGATATTATTTAATTATATTAATAATATTGATGATAGTGGGGTTGAGTTAAAGTTCAATTAAAAAAAAAAAATAGTTTAGATAAAATATTGAAAATTTTTCATAAACAAACATGCTCTTGGTATCTCTACATCAGAGTGAATTGCGTTATTTTGTATAATTTTATCCACGTCCTGATTTGGTCTTATCACTCATCCACTCATGTCATGTAACCCTAAATTATAAGAGCAACTTTAACGGGAGCTTTTGGAGAGGTTTGAAAACCTCACTCCCACAACTTTACGGTTAAAAAGGAGAAATGAGAGCGTGGAGTTTGTAAAGTGGGAGTACAAATGTAATGTTGGTGTTGTGGTGTAGATGTGGGTCCCGAACATTTGATAAATGAATATAATATGAAAGTTTGTAGAATGTGGGCCTCAAATATTTAATAAATGGATGCAATATGAAATTTAATTAGGCACCCACCGTACATGTTTTTTATTTTTTCGTTTAGTTTTAATTTTGTTATTTTATTTAATTATATATTTTCCACATTTAGTTTAATTTTATTATATAATCTAGTTTTTTCACATTTTATGTTTAATAAATTTATCTTTTTTTTTTTTAATTTTAATTGTACGTAAAATATATTTCTTATGATACATAATGTATATGTCGAATTAATTATTTTTCTTGTCGAATTTTACTCACATTTATTATTATCAAAAAGAGTAATTAATAAAAAACTATGAAATTTTTTGTCGAATTAATTAAAAAGAGATATTACTCACCATATATGCCGAATTTTTCTTATTATTTTTTTTTAATTTTTGTTGGCATGTAATTTTTATATTTTATATTATTATAAGGTTTATGTGTAATAAATTTCATATTTTTATTATTTTTTAATTTAATTGTACGTAAATATATTTATTATGAGATATAATAAATATGTCATTGTAAAAAAATATTAATGTTTTTAGTAAATATGAATTAAATTGATATATAAATTAAAGTGGGAAACATGGGGCCCACTAAAAGAGAGTTTGTGAAGTTTATGTATATTTTTTAACATATTAACATCACCAAGCATGCCACATACGCGGTGACATGGGAGCATTTCCGTGTATATACGTTATTCTTCGAAAGAAACACGCTTTCTAATGAACCCTCGCGGCCGATGTTTTTCCAGCTTTTCTCGTACAGGTGACTTCACCGCCTCGTGATTCACTCTCAACAATTTTGTGCTCTGTGTACTCTGTATGCATCTACATGTTTGCTCCGTAGGCATAATCATATGAACCTTTACTTTTCCTTGCTTTCTGAGTCTTGAATTTAACTGCGGACATTATTATAGCATAAGGCCTAATACTGAAGTTACTCTAGTATGGCGTTAACAAGGATGAGCAAAAACCTTCTTGTGAAACCATATTTTCATTTTCCAACCCAAAATCCCATCTCTGTCAAAACATTATCCGCAAGCGCATGCTCAGATTCTGTTTCTAGCTCAGCGGACCAAGAATCAGATTGTTTGGAATCCCAAATCAGAGCTTTAAGTCGGAACCCTATCTCCATTGCCGATTTGAAGAAAGCTTTCTCACTGTATGAGCAATCTTTCAATACGGGCCTCCGTCCTTCGGGACCCACGGGCGAAGTTCTCTTGCAAAACCTTGCCAAGATGAAAGAGTATGAGATGGCTTTTACTGTTTACAAGAAAATGACAAGTGCTGGGGCTTTGCCCCAATTTATGTCGTTGTCCGCTTTGGTTGAATGCTTGGTCCATTTTTCTGTGCCTGAGTTGGCTCTGTCAGCTGTTGGTTTGATTGTGAAGCGCGGATATGTCGTCAAAGCATACATCGGGAATATCTTGATAAAGGGATTCTGCCGGGTGAGGAAATTAGGCGATGCCTTGAGTGTAAAGAAAAGAATGGAATGTTCGAATATAGCTCCTGATTTTGTCACATACAATATTCTGATGGGAGCCCATTTTGCAGAAGGTCGTGTGGACGAGGCCACTGGATTATTTGAGGAGATGAGAGAAAAAGGTTTGGAACCTAAAATTTCTTCATATTGCATTCTTATAAATGGCTTTTGTAACAATGGGGATGTCGATCGAGCGAATGAGGTTTTTGATGAGATGTTGGGTGAAGGAATTTCTCCAAACTTGCTCATATATTCCTGCTTAATGCGCGGGCACTGCCAAAAGGGTAACCTGAAAGAAGCCAAACGGTTGTTCAATGATATGGTCAGAAGTGGAATACGTCCTGACGTTGTCACATTCACAGGCATGATAGATGCTCTCTGCAAGCGCAAAAAACCCGAGAAAGCCTTGGAGCTTTTCAATTTCATGATCGAAAAGGGAGAAGAACCCAATATTGTAACGTACAATGTTCTGATCAACGGATTATGCAAGGCAGAGCTTTTGGACGATGCTTTCAAGATTCTCGAAATTATGGTCAAGAAAGGCAAGAAACCCGATCTCGTGACATACAATACTGTTCTGGGCGGCCTCTGTGAACTTGGAAAAGTCGATGTTGCCGTGAAGCTTTTCAACTCGATGACATCGGATGACAGCTGTGCGGGTCCCGATTCGTGGACTGTATCTAAGCTGGTTCATGGCCTCTGCAGAGAAGGCCATCTGAGAAAGGCCGAACAACTCAGCCGTAAGATGGCCAAACAGAGGAAAATCGACGTGGCCCCGTATTCTGTGCTTATTGGAGCTTATCTGAAGGAAAGCAATGTCAAGAAAGCGATGAGGCTATGGAGAGAGTTAGTCCTGCTTGGGTTGACCCCCGATTCACAAATGTACAGTGCTTTCATAAACGGGCTCTGCAAATGTAACCTTTTAAGCATTGCAAAAGGAATCTTTATTAAAATGAAAATAAACGGGCCAAATCCTACTTCGTTTTGTTATAACACGTTGATGGCTGCACTGTGCGGTGAGTGTAGCTTGGAGCAAGCAAGAGCGTTGTTTAAGGACATGCTTGAAAGTGGGTGTAGTCCTGATGTAGTCTCGTACAATATCATGATAAACTCTACCATAAGGGCTGGGGATATTCAATCGGCTAATAAGATGCTCGTCGATATGCAGCAGAGGGGATTGCATCCGGATATCTTGACTTTTTCGGTTCTCATCAACAGGTTTTCGAAGTTGGGGCTAATGGAGGAGGCTAAGAGTTTGTTTCAGAGAATGAAGTCGTGTGGTTTTGCGCCGGATGTCTTTGTTTTGGATTCTCTGCTCAAAGGGTTCAAGGCCTTGGGCAAAATGGACGAAATAATCGACTTGCTTCATGAGATGGCGAAATTGGGGGTCGAGCTTGATGATGAGCTGACCTCGACTATTTTGACTTGTTTGTGTGATATGCCGGAAGGTCATGATGTAGCTAAGATTCTGCCGAGTTTTACGCAGGAGGGAATTAAAGGGAGTAGCATCTCGTGTGATGAACTGTTGACGAGGCTCCAGAGTGTTATGCCCGGGCTTAAGACTTCTTCAGTGCAGCTGTAGGCCATGATTGATGTATGACATTAGTAGTTTGACTTTGTAATTTTTCATCTACATAAATATTTCTGCAAAAAGTTGAGGTTACATGTTATTCTTATAATGTGGAGAGAAATTTGGGCAGAGGTGGTATTAGATGATCAGGACCTGGTAAATAGTAAGTTCTATAGAGAAGGTACAGAGACGTAGAATGTGTACTTCATGGATTCGTAATCTTTTATAGGATATTGAGTGCCTCCTCTATTGACAGTTGCCTCGCCTTCGAAGGTGCTTTGAGAATATAGATAATCTCTCTCTCTCTCTCTCTCTCTCTCTCTCTCTCTCTTCCATTGTTTCTTACTGGTTTATTTTTCACATGTGAAACTGCAGTTCTCGCTTATGCTGCTTGCTGTACACACCATTAGAAATTATTTACCAGCTCTTTTGAAGTTTGTGTTCTCATTTTTGGCAATTTGGTGAAACTTGGCTTTCTTGAAATATGTATTGACCTCCGGTTAGTGATGTAACTAATTTCTTCATTACATGCTGTGTCTTATGTCTATTTTTTCTGCACTATGGTGCACCTAAATATGGCAATATTATGATTTGGGTTCTCGTTTTCCAGTGAAATTGCTCGAGACCGAGAAAAGTTGCGAAAGATTGCATATTTTGCTGCCTCTCGGTATAGCATGGATATGATGATGAGTCACCAGAACAAATTTGGTGTTATTGTACATCCACTTGGGATGTTCCCAACTGACGATACAAGTCCTGCTAGGTTAACAAAGCCATCGTTTTTGAAAAAAAATAAAAAAATAAATAAAAATCAATATTGTTTCTGGAGGAATCCAGTTTTTGCAGATTCTTGAGAATTGATTATCATATCATTTTGAGAAAAAAATGATAACTTAGAGAGAGAGAGAGAGAGAGAGAGGTGGTGTAAAAAGTCTTGTGTATAATCAACATAACCGCGCTCAAAAATTTTGTAAGAAGCAGATGCTGGAATTTTTTTGTGCCACAATACGATGGTTTCCTTTCTAATAAACACACGGAATTTAATAAAAAACAAATAATGATTGGAATAAATTTGTTTATAATTTTTGTATAAGTTTGAGATTGTGCAAAAGTTTTATTGTCCCCAATTTTAATATGATTCGAGCTGTTTGAGTACTACGGAACTTGGCTTGTAAGACATTCATCCAATATTATGTAATAAAGCATAATGAATGTTGCTTGCCCAAAATTCTTGTTTGCTTGTGCAGTCTCATTAAATAAATACTAGAGTTTTATATCATGTCATTATCCTAATGATGACGTAAACTAGTTGAGAGAAAGTGGACATGACAATTGAATATGTAATTATCATCTACAAGCCGATTTTAATGATTTAAGTTTCAACACAACATCCCGACAGACCCCAGAAGGACGTTCATAAGTCATCTCCAGTCTTTCTCTCTATTCTAGCGCAAACTTTATTCTACTCTAGAGTAGAGTTGAACATTCATTTTTAGTCCTCATCTCTACATTTTACTCTACATCAAATATATTATTTTTTTATTCACTTTTTATCTCAAATAAATTGACATATATGTATATTTAATCTTATATAAAATGTTAATTACTCAAATAATAAAAATATTTTTTTATTTATTTTTATTTCAAATGAATTAGTATATATATGTATATTTAATTTTATAAAAAATGTTTATTATGTTATTTATTTTTATTTTAAAATTGTTATATATATGAATATGTAATCATATATAAATGTTTGTTACCCAAATAATTAAAAAAAAATTATGTATAACAACACAAGACTGCTTCATAAGTTCAAACAAAAGGATACAAATTACATAATACAACGGAAAAAATAAAAACCATTCGAAACAACGATTACAATAATATTACAGCTAATTTTCTAAATTAGACAATTCCTCCAATAAATGCTCAATCAATGCGTTACGAAGGGCGATATGAGCTTCTCTATCTCGAATTTGTCTGTATCGAGCAACAAATGCTTGGAACTGAGAAGCATCATCACCAACTGTTTCAACATCTGGGATTGGGGCTTCTATCGCAGCTTCGATTGGTACAGAAAGATCTCGTTCATCCTCAATTATTACATTATGCAAACTAATATATGCAATCATTATATCTTGTAAGTCATTTTTACTCCAAAATCGGGCAGGATTAGCCACAATAGCAAATCGACTTTGGAGTACTCCAAATGCACGCTCCACATCCTTTCTGCATGATTCTTGTTTCATTGCAAAGTATTTATTTTTTCTGACTACGAGAGACACGAATAGTTTGGACAAGAGTTGCCAATTTGGGATATATATTATCTGCTAACTAATACCCCATGTTGTACTCTTTACCTTGGATGACATAATGTGCGGAAGGGGCAATTCCTCGAGTAAGGTCAGAAAATAAATGAGATCTCTCTAACACATTAATATCATTGTTGGATCCAAGCATACCAAAGTATGCATGCCATATCCATATCTTAATCGACTATAACTTTTAGAATAATAGTTGGAGATTTACTACGTCCTGTATACGCACCTGCCTAAGCCGTTGGACAATTTTTCTAGTGCCAATGCATACAATCCAGGCTACCTAACATTCTTGGAAAGCCACATTGCTTAATGATATAAAGGAGTCATGCAATGCCATTGGCGTTGGGAGAACGTAGATATTGCTCTCCGAATATCTCTACAACAGCACGACAAAATCTCTTCACGCATTCAAACTCTCCAATATTTATGTATTCATTTGTCGCATATGCAGGTACAACGTATGTTATTATCCGAAGTGCAACGGTTAACTTTTGATAGGTAGACAATCCGAGTCTACCAACTGCATCTCTTTGCTGCAAAAAATAATCATCATGATTTTTAACTGCATTTGCTATACGAAAAAATAAATTTCTAGATATTCGAAAACGTCTACGAAACATAGCTTCATTAAATTTTGGGTTTTCAGAAAAATAATCGTTAAAAAGACGATTTGCAGCTGCTTCTCGATCGCGAAATATTGTTTTTCGACCAGGAACTGAACCTCCATGACTTTGACCACCTTGTTGAGTTCTAAGAAATTCTTGCACAAGAATATTATTGTTGTAAATTTGTTGTGATATCAGATGTTGTTCTGTATCATAACTATCTAGTAGTTGTTCAAGTTCATCATCAGATGAACTTGAAGAAGAAAATGCATAAGAAATACCAATGTGATTGGGATTCATATTTTTCTAGAAAATGCAAGAGTTTACGAATGAAAAATTTGTGTAAAAATCTCTGTATAAATAGTGATATAAAAATGAAATTTACAACTTTAAATCTTAGTCGTTTAAATTTTTAGATAAGAATCTTACGGTTGGTATTTAGATAAGGCTATCCACAACTTTCTATCTTAGCCGTTAAATCATAGATAAGAATCCTACGGTTGATATGTAGATAAGAAAATCTACAACTTTCAATCTTAGCCAATAATTCATAGATAAGAATCCTACGGTTGATATGTAGATAAGAAAATCTACAACTTTCAATCTTAGCATTTAAATTATAGACAAGAATCCTACGGTTGATATTTAGATAAGGCTATCCACAACTTTCAATCTTAGTCGTTGAATCATAGATAAGAATCCTACGGTTGATATGTACATAAGAAAATCTACAACTTTCAATCTTAGCCGTTAATTCATAGATAAGAATCCTACGGTTGATATGTAGATAAGAAAATCTACAACCTTTAATCTTAGCCATTAAATCTTCAGATAAGAATCCTACGGTTGATATGTAGATAAGAAAATCTACGACTTTCAATCTTAGCTTTTAAATCATAGAGATTTAGATAAGGCTATCAACTTTCAATCTTAGCCGTTAAATCATAGATAAGAATCCTACGGTTGATATGTAGATAAGAAAATCTACAACTTTCAATCTTAGCCGTTAATTCATAGACAAGAATTCTACGGTTGATATGTAGATAAGGCTATCCACAACTTTTAATCTTTGCCATTAAATCTTCAGATAAGAATCCTACGGTTGATATGTAGATAAGAAAATCTAAAACTTTCAACCTTAGCCTTTAAATCATAGATAAGAATCCTACGGTTGATATTTAGATAAGGCTATCCACAACTTTCAATCTTAGCCGTTAAACCATAGATAAGAATCCTATGGTTGATATGTAGATAAGAAAATCTACAACTTTCAATCTTAGCCGTTAGATTAGATTTCTTATCACGAATGTCAACCGTACGAGTCTTATCAATGAAAATGAAATATACTATAAATACGTTACATGGTGAGGCAAAATTTTGTACCACCAAAACATAACTTCAGCATTTTATAATTTACGTTTTAATTCCATTTTCTTTTAGTAATTTCTCCTATGAGTTCCAACTATACTGTGAATGAAGATCAACACCTATATCGGTCTTATATGGTAATTTCTCAAGATCAAGAGGTGGGCATATATCCAAGTAGAGATAAATTCTGGCTCCGTGTGATGAACGAGTATAATTCTACAAAACCCAATCCAATGTAGTTTGATCGTCCACAAAGATCGATCCAATGTCGTATGAGAACTATCAATACTGCTATTAAACTTTTCAAATCTTGTGTGGAGCAAATTGAAAATGCAAACATCAGTTGAGCTTCTGAACATGATGTGGAAAGAAATTTTACAAGCATTATTTATTTATATTTGTAAAAAACTTTAATATTATCTAATGCTATTTATTTTTACATTGTAGATGGAGCGTGCGGATGTACATTATTCGCAAAACTCAAAAAATAAAAGTAATAAACCATTCAACTACGAGCATGTGTGGAATATTATGAAAGATTTTACATTGTTTGAGTGCACATCAACCAGGCGAAACACGTTTTCATCTCAACCGCAATCAAATGCACAACCCGAATCTCCCATTTCACCTAATCCAAAACTATCTAATTTTTCTATTAATTTAAGCCATGAAAATGCTAGTTGTGGTTCATCATCACAACGACCATTAGGCATTA